TTGCTACCAGTTTCTCTACGAACTGCCTGCTCAGGGAAATTAGTAGGTATTGGGATAAAATGGTTTGGTCCCTCATGGAATTCTAATCACAAATCTTCGCAGTTCAAAGCAGACCGATTACTCACTGAGTCAAGCACTCAAAACGATCAGGACGAAATCCAAACGGCAAAGAATGAACAAAATATGTAGCTACCTTTTCCAGTTTCAACAACTTCTTTATGAGTATATAGCCACTCACGCAAACAGATATGCAAATCATTTTTTTAAGACTGTATTGCACTGTCACGAAAATAAACGAATGGAAAGTTAGTAACGATTGAAATATCGGTCTTTCTTACGCTTTCATGATGGGGCCGTTTCTGACGCCCATTTTTTCATGACTTTTTATGGTGGGGGCGTTGATCTCCAACCAGAAATGTCTTATTTCAAAAGCAGAGTTGACTGCAGCTACCTCACAGGCGTACGAATCTGGGACCTCTCGATTGTGAGTCGATCGACTGAGCACTCCCGGTCATTAAGACTATGACGTGCCTGAAGTTCAGACTCACTGAATATTGTAATTGCTAGAAAATGATTAAGCACTTGTATTGCAAACATGGAACGACGGTTATGATAATAACCATGCAGCGTCCATTTTTAATTCAACCTGTGTACGGTCAATCCAGCAAGCATGACCGAAGATTCAAAATAACCGCTTCTCGTATCTCAAGAGCATAACGGAAAGACTACTGTTACTTAAAAGCTAAACTCTGGATGTGTATTTCCGTAGAGAGTTTACTTTGACGTCTCCAATATACTAAAATATCCTGTTCACCCTTTCCAAGAAGGTACTAAACTAAGTACAATCAATCATTGAGTCAATTCGAGTAACACGTAATTAGTCAGTTGCTGGTGTGACTGATTCTGGCATGCTGTGATCTCGTTAGACTCAAAATACCGCATGTGCAAATTTCACGTTCAAAACCTCGGTTTTGATGTGAGGCATTGCGCTTCGCTCAGGAAGGAGAATCCCTTAGTTAAACGGTAGCCGATTAGCTTATCTGATCTGACGCAGAATCTTTCGATGCAGTCAGATGTGTGCAGACTTTTAAATACCACCGGTGTAGGTTATTTGTTCAAGGCATTAGTCGTGGTGCATTGCTCAGCCCCGCTGTCCTCAAAAAGACACATTAACTCAAAGCGACAGGCAGTCTGACATTAATACAGTAACAGCCAAACTTCGAAGTATGAGTACTCGCATGACATGTAGTAGACCAGAGAAAACCTCATGCGGCTGAGTGAAAGAGTGTGACGGCGAGGAAACAGAGGCCCACCTCAACGGGTGGCGGTACCGATTCGGGTCTGTCGTCAGTAGCTGTGCTGCCTATCGCGATGGCGCGTGCCCCCTTCTAGGTTCGGCGATTCATTACACACGTCGATGATGCATGTGTTGCCAACGGTACTTGGCAGGTTGACGAATGTTCATCGAAACCTTGCGCTTCGCTGGCGCCTCATCGTTGTAATGGCACAGATTGTTTTGGGGATGGTCGAACCGCCGTCGACGAAGCCGATCATCGATTCATAACATGTAGAGCGTAATAAGTGCGTGCCATCGACCGAAGTAACGCAAAACAGGATCAGGTCAGCGGTCGAAAAAGCCATCGATGAGATTGAGCGAGAAACCATTGTGGCAGAACGTTCTTTTTAACTCCGTTTCACAGGTTTCTTGTGTTCGGTCGCTGCTGAAATAGCATTTGACCGCAAGCTGTTTCTCTGAAGGCGATGAATTCCACGTACCGATCTTTTCGACCGCACCCTGACCTCAGCCATTTCCTTTTTGAAGCATCGCTGCAGATAATCTAATGATAATCGTAATTTCATCCTCTGAATTGTACCTTCAAACTTTACCACCAAGCGTTAAACTCTAGGCCAAGGTCAAAATGTCCTGAAAATGGGCAATATGTTCTGAAAGGCATGTTACCGATCAGAGGTGACATGAACATGGCAGCTTCTCAGTTCTCGCATGGAGACACTTCTAGGTTCTCCTTGCCTTTAGAAGCCTAGAAAGCCCCATATGTTGGACTTGGCTGCTCCTTGATATTATAGCACCTGGACGGATGAACGTAAACCAGCATCACAGTGATGGATCGATGGTGGTCATGCTGAAAACAACATAAAAC